TTTAGACCAAGCTAAAAATAGACTGCACAGTCTAAGAATGAAGTAAGAGACTGCACATTCTCTTCTGTACAGTTTACAAAGAATCAGAGAGAGGAATGGCACTGAATTCAGGTATTTCTGATGTTATAAATTTTCACTGGTTTCTCATCTGCCTAAGGTTTGACATAGAAGACTATCAAATAGCAAATTACCCAGTTACAATTTGAAAGAACCATGCAATTCTAAACCACTAAATTATTCTATGTTTCCAAGGTTCAAACAGCAGTATGCCAAATATTAAGATAAAATACCTAATATTTCTTTAGCGTCAGGCATAAAATACTTATTTCATAATCTTAGTTTCTTGAACTCTATGCTAGAATTTTATTATATTGTATAATTCTAATTTATATATACATAGGTATGTATACTACATAATATACAGTACATAAATAAGTACATATATATTAAATATATATCATCTACCTCTAATGATTAGGGCACATAGTAATGTACAGAAAATGTCCATTACAAAGAACACAGGTTCTTTTTTTTTCTAAATAGTGCAGAGTGACTGCATCAGAAGGAGAACAGGACCTCAATATTTTACTAATGAGGAGATATTCCTCAAGACTCCCTCCAAGTGTGAGACTCTTAAATTAGAATTAGCATATTGTAATTACAGCAATATATATAACCACAACTACAAAACAGTGAGGGCAGAGAGGTAAGATAAGCATAAATGCCTCTAGTTATGATATTACAGTATACATATATTGAGGGACCAAGCCAAGCTAATCTTTGAGTCTGCTGTGGAGGGGAAGAGACAAAAGCACAAAAGAGATGTTTTAAGAGAACAGCCTCCTCAGGGGTAATTAAATTTCATTTCCAATCAGACCACAGTATGAATGTTTTCTTTGCTGCAGAATTATGTATCAGAACAAGCAGAAACTGTCACAGAAGTTCCATCATAGTCTGAATCATGGAGAGGCAAGTGCTGATGACAGTTGTGAGCAATTACCTCAAGCAATATAAACAAACATATGGTATTTACTTTTAAAGTACGTAGCATAGAATAATTTTCAGGATGATACAGTAGATCATGCTTACTTGAGCATTCACATGATGGAAACAACTCAATACAAAGGGAAATAAAACCTCTCTAGTATAAACAGTTCTGTTGAACAAAAAACAGATTCACTCTGAGGTTAGCTGATACTTGTTTAGCATCCCAGATATCCCCACTGATAAGTCACTGTCTTCACCGGGTACAGTGTTAAGGACTGAGAATGCTGCTATTAAATATACAAATAACATTCAGCCATAGTGACATGCTCCAATGTAGTGAATTGTAACATAATTAAACTGTCTCTGCATATTTTCAGAAAACAATGCTTTACTGCAACTGGGCCTGCTTATGCTCCAGCTTGTGCAAGTTGTGTGTACAGTCTCAATTCAGTCATACTGTGTGTTGACACAGACAGTAGATCAGGTTCTGACCACTCAATTCCATCCTCTCAGCTCTCGAAAACCTCAGAGAACTAGAACAATCTGTCCTCAAGTATCATGCATATACGTCATGCTTACATTCAATTACATCTTTTGTTTCAGAGCACAGTCTTCACTTGGTCATTGAAAAGGAAATTCAGCTTTTGATGCCAACTAAACGAAGGCTGGTATGCCACGCAAACAAATCTGAAGTCCTCCTAAATCATCTGTTTAGATACATTTTCTTCCTCTTTCAGAATTAGCTGCCAGAATTACACACTTGTCCTTGTGAGATACAGACTCACAAGGACATTGCTATGATCCACATATGATCTACAGGACAAGAGGTATGTCTCTTAAATGCTCTGAATCACTGCCTACCTCTCTCATCTGCAATCTAGACATCCAGTTTCAACAGCAGAAATTGCATCTCCTTAGCCACCCCTAGCCAATTATCTACTTTTCAGGTACCCTCATAAGGAGGGTAGATTCTGACATGTTATCTACCTAAGTGGTCATTACCCTTTTTTTATAGAATGGACCAAGTCAAGATGTACTGAATCGGGGAATGCACAAACACAAGGAGAGAATATTTGTAACAGTATTACATCATTTGTTGCATAAGCTGGAAGGTATGCAGTGAGATACGCAGGACACTGCAGGAATAGAAAAATACATAACAGCAAAGGCAGTTAAATGCTTCCTTGGAAGAACAAAATCTGCAGTTAAGATATCTAAGGAAGTAACTTAAGTAATTTTTTCTTACATAGTAACTGTATTATCACCCTTGAATTACCCTGTGATACTCTGATTATGTTATTACTATTCACCCTTTCCTCTTTGTAATGCTGGTTTTTACTCCCTGTACTGAAGCCATGGCACTGGCACCAATCTGCCTTCTGGTGCTCAGTCATGACCTGCTAAAGCTAAGCAAATGTATCCTTTCAAGCTGTCTGAATATGTTGACAAATGTTTGCATCCACAGCCTGACCTTCTCAAACATATTACCTGAAATTTTCCAGTCTCCCTCCCCAGATCAAATACGGAACCACAGTACCACACAGCTACTGTCAAATACAGCTCTAAGTATAGCCTCAGTTGCAAAACAACTTACGATCCAAACTACACTGCAAATCAGACTCAGAACACACAGCGTCTTTAACTGGGTCTAGTAAGGTTGTTGTTGGGACAGCTGCATTTGTTAGTATAGTCAGGGCCAATTTTTTTACTATTTCACTGGCAACCTGGTTTTCTTTCCGGTCAAAGAATTCCTATTGAAGGCAATACTGGAAGTACTGGTACCAAATGCAAGGTCAGGGACCCACAGCCAAACCAAAATATTTTACTGACAGATCCCTAGGGCACTAAGTTGCAATATTTTTGGCTTAGGTGATATTTCCTTGTAAAATACATCAGATTTGCAGAGTGACATAAATCTTACCTCAAGACATGTTCCCATAGCTCAATTCAATTGCATATAACAAATAGATTTCCACAAATATACTGTCAGTATTACATGTGAATGTAATGTCAGGCATACATGTGAATGAAACATGCACATTTATGGAAGTTTTGATTTATGCATATCATCACCTTGTAAGAGAAACATAATCTCCTGATTACTTCAGGAAAATGACGACAGCGTTGTACTTGGTCATCAATACAAATTTTACCTACCCAAATCAGATTTTGCTCTATCTAGCACCTACTGATTCACAGCATGACCAACAAACATGGTGCTATGGTGAAGCCTTCCTTCAGTACACCAGTATCAGCTGAAATGAAACAAGGTTATCTAGCCCCTTCTGGCCCTCAGGTGGAGATTATCAATCCCTCCTTCTGGCCTAAAACAAGGACAGTTTTATCCATGCAATTTTAGCATATACTTTTCTCTCCTACTTCTGATTATGTCAAATACTGGCTCTACACAACCTATTAACTCCCTACAGGGGTTCTTTCTCTATTATCTGTTGGTGCAATTTAAGCCACTTACCTCCTCTTTTTGCTGTAGACACAATGGGGTTATTCCCTTCCTGTTCTTTAACGTATTTGATGACGACAGTTTTTATTCCACCAAACTTTCTAACCTAAGAAGCAGTTTGCCTCTCTAAGATAAGAACACTACCTGTAAAGAAAATCAATATTGATGCCATGAACAAAAGGCCTTAATTTATCTCATATTTATTAACATCAATGAGGGTGTAGATATTACCTAGCTGAGGCTGACTTTCTTTAGCTGTACATTATTCCAATGTACCAATGTGTAAGAGCGTACAGCTTCTCCTTTTACTTTCTTAGTTCATACTTCTTGAAAAGCTATTCCAACTGACCATTATACCATTTGGTATAATAAAGTGGTAACAGCATAGACTCAGAGTAAGAAAAGTTAGGGAACACATTAATCTTACTTATGTTAGCTACCTGTAAAACCCAAAGCTTTTATTACTTAACATTTATATTAAATACACAGCTCCCTGTTTCAGGTAGTTAAGTCAGATTTCACAATCAGGATTTCAGATGGTTTCCACTTATAATATGTGCACAATGGTTACCACAAAGACAGAGTATAGTCCACAACACCTTCCCATGATCTAAAGTAGAAGCTGCCCCAGATCAAATTTAAGCTTATTTTCCAGTGGGCAGTCTTCCAGACCACAAAAACTACCACAATTCACAGACTGCTGCTGTGCAGGTTCAGTGTCCAGGGTTTCAAAATTTTGTAACATTTACCCTTCACATAAAACAATTTATAAAGTATATTGAATGCAAACCTGTATACTAATGCTTACAAAAATCAAAAATTAGGGTTAAGGTTTCCAGAGCAACATGAAACTCTGGTATCTTCTAGTTATGTGTTACAAGGTACTCTTCACATGGTCCCGTAGCACTGAAAAATGTGACATACTACTTGGCAAATGAGATATGACACTGAGTATCTTACATCCTTCCAATCTGTGCAGTATAGTTTTCATCTGGAAGTTCTATTACTTCCAGTATTCTACATGTAAGATGATAACCTGTCAAAATGTTGAAATTCCTTACCACATATACACTGTACTGCGCATTTCCAACACATATACTGTGCTGCATATTCCCTGACAAAGACATGACAGAAGTCTACAGAAAAAGGGAAATGAAAGTGTAATGAGACGAAATTTGACACCTAACATGACTTAATGAGAAAGATCAAATAAAAAAACTTGGTGGTTCTTTACATCAACCAAGCTGAGAAACTCACTTATATAGGATACTGTGAAGATTTCAAAGGTCCACAGCTTCAGAGACTGAGCAAAATCACGGAGGATGGGAATCCATCAAAAGCTACTAGACATTAAGACATCATCCCTTTCTCAGGAAGTCCTCCAGTCTCCAGCACTTCAGAAAATATATGCAGTATCATTGTCAAATCCTGTTATCTCTAAATTGTGTTGAGATGACTGCTGATGTCCAAATTTTACTAAAGGGAAAAAATTACTTAGTACTTCTGTTGAGCCTAGGAATATAATCAGAATTAAAGAAAGTAGAGTGCACTCAAAAATTCTAAAAAATTTTAATATAAAATCATTATATACCACAGGTTACAACATACAGTACATATGCATGACTATGCACATATGTACTATACACTGCATATGAAATTGCATACATATTCACTTGTAAATAACTACAAGTAAATAATTACTTGTATAATGTAATTCTGTATCACTATAAATATAAAATCATCATTTTACCTTTAATTTCATGGAATTACCATATTTTGTGGCAAAACGCTGTCAAAGTTCAAATAAAACAGTTATAGTGCAAGTTGCATAGAAAACTTTCATCTTACTACACTACAATATTTAGCAGTGATGGTTCATCTCAATCATCTGCACTGTATTTTTTCCACAAAAAAGTTTCATTTCTTTTCCAAAGAGAACTTTCACACACTTCTCTCTCTTCTGTCACCGTGGAATGAGGGGCTCTTTCACAAAGCTTCTCTATGACTGCTATATCTGTGAGCTTTCTGAGGCTGTCCTCATTCTGTTCATTCAGCATATCCCAGAAATCTTTTGGTCTCCCCTTTGATTTTTCTGCTTGTCCTGAAGAGAATCTCCTTGGTGATCCTGCAGACCCATTTCCATCATTTCTGAAGATTTCATTGAGAATAGAGGTATCTCCAAGTAAGTCCACAAAAGAATTTTCTTTGCAAATCTGAGCTTTTTTGTCTCCATTTTCTGACTGAGACATGGATCTTTGCTTTGGCATCTGCGTTTCTTCTGAATCTTGCTGTCCTTCACAACCTTTGACAGGCAGCACCTCAATTATTTCTGATTTACTGCTTAATGAACCAGATGCCATAAAATCCTTGAATGCCAGACTGTTTCTTTTTTGGATATGTTGAGCAGCAATAGCGGGTGCTTGTTTATATTTTGCATCAACAAACATATCTTGCAAGTAGGAGTCCTTGTGAAGCTGTTCTGCTTCTCCTTTATGGCCCTCCTGAGTCTGTGTTTCTGTAGCTCCACTCAGAAGTAGTCCTTTAGCTGATGATGGTCTAGACTCAGATCTTCCAAAATTAACAATGGATTTTCTTTTTCTGGAGCGTGTTGTACCTAGCTGACTTTCCTCACAGTTATGTGAAGCTTCTGCTGGTATTTCAAGTGAGAAGAAAGACTCCATCTCTGGATGCTTGGAAACATAGAATTCCTTCAACATTTTCTGCCTGGTTTCTGATGTAGCTTTTACAATGTGTTCTGCAAGGTCCTTCACTGATCCCATATTAAAGTGAGATACCATTTGCTCAAATTGTCTCCTGTAATTATCAAGAAGAAATATGTGTTATGCTGACACCCTTAATACGGGGGTGGGGAAAATGGGAAGAAATAGTTGTTCCAAGTCCTTTAAAAGAAGACTTGCTAAACAAAAACTGGATAAATGCATGTGGAGGAGACACTGTCCACATCATCCTACCCAGTGAATTATGGAATATTTGTTTCTGCTAAAAAGCCAAGTTCTAATTGAAATCGATCACTCTAGTTGAGTGATCAACAATCCCAAGTTGGAGAAAAGATACGAAACATGTCGCCTTTCCTGTTATGAGGTCTCTGAAAGGCAGTAAGATTTAACCCTGTTTGCCTCAAATACCACTTGACTGGATAGCTCCAATCACTTGAGTGTGGTGACTGCAGGCACCTTCCCACTCTGCCCTACAACTACAACAAACTGAGGCATGTAATCATCCTCATTCACTTTGTGGCACATCCACATGTACTACAAAGTCTAACTGCATGCCAGGTGCTAACAAACAACCTGCTCAATGCTCAGGAGTGAATTGTTTCAGCTTTTTGCTGGATATGGCTTTAGGATCTTGGAATAACAGCCTTAGTCACTTCACTGCCTTTGAAAATTTTACCTCAATAGGTTTTTCATAACTAATTACAATTTTGAACATTTTTAGAATGAAAGATTCTCCTTTACCTGCATAATAAATATTTATAATTTTCAGTGTCTATAATAGTAAAAAAACCTGAAAATTATTGGCACTTTGACAATAACAGTAAGGATAACTGAAGCTAGCTAGCAGATATGACAGCTTCTGAATGCTTACAGGTATTACCTAGATACCAACTTTCATATAGTAATTTACTTGTCTCAAGGCAAATTGAAAATATATAACAAACACCTGTTCTGTAGGTTTGCTTAGCTAGCTACAGCTTTCCACTTTCTATTTCCACAAACCACCAGGCTATTTTTATGGAATTTCTATCTACGTAACAATGGAAATTAATATTCATATTAATAACAGCAATCATTTGGGAAAACAGAAAACAAGGAAACAAAAAATTATTATCCCTCCAAAAATACCAGGGGGGGAAGCATTAAAAGAGATATTGAAAAATACTGAGCCCCATGCTAAAAAAGAAATATGAAGCCCATTTTTTTAAACAGCCATTCAATGCAAGTGATGAGATCTGGGCAAAATCAGTAGGCAGTCAGAAGCTAACGTTATAAAATGCCTCCCTTCTATACAGTTCAAACAGTGTTTTGCAGTAGCCCATGATGCACGTAATATGAACGCTCATAGTGATGACATCTACAGAGTTATGTAATATATGACCACTGAATCAACACATTCAAGTAATTTGTGGATTCAATTAATTTTATCAATCAATTACAGTACTCATGGAGTAGTGTGAGTCGAAGTTTCCCATTAATTCCACTCTTGCCATAGAAAATAACAATACTGCCTGAGCAGGGTTGAAACAAAGCCAAATGCAACTATTCAAAAAGTTTGTTTCAACCTTAGAATTTTACTTCCAACTCACCAAAACAGTCTCACCTGCGTATTCCTTTGGGTGTCCTTCCAATCAAGAATGTGGCTGAACCTACTCTGTGTACTTTTTTGCTTCTCTGGGTCACAGGATGTGTAACATACAGATGATGCTTACTGTTCTTCAACATTTCTTGCCTTTCCTTAACAAATTTCTTCTCTGAAGTATTGTCTTCTGGAACTTCATAATTTTTCTAATAAAAGGAGACATTGAAGTCATTAGAACAGCTGTGCCTCTGATGTAACAATGCACCCAACTGAACCCAATTCTGCCCCTTGTAACTAACATTACTAGACTGAACACTAGGATTGGGATTTAGAGCTGAAATGCAGATTCCCTGCTCAGTCACAAAATTCCAGGGACATTGAAGGGAAGTCTTGGTTCTCTGATATCTTGCAAAAAATATGATCCTATTTAAACCTGAGTTATGTTTCTGAAATTCTCAAAAATTCTCACCAAAATTTCCCCTTTGCCAAAACACAGCTGCTTAGTGATATCCTCAGTCTCCCTACAAGCACTGCTTTAGAGATTAAATCACAAATTGCATTCACACCTTGTTATCTGCTGTTCAAAGTCTGGTTTCAGATCTACACTGTTTCTTCTCAATGTTTTTCTATGCGATCCATGTCCATTTCCTTTATTTTCATGGGCTGTTCACAATGTTCTTGTGCTTTAGGATCTTACATGTGTTCTCACTCCACTACTTTGGTAACTAAACTCAAACTAGCATACAGAGAGAGATGTTAATATTACAGAACCTACAGGCATACATTTTCACTGTAAGACAAATGTACAGCTCCAAAGACCAAAATTTTACTTCACCATTATGTTACTCCACACAACACTGAAATCCTACCTCAATTAAGATAAAAACCCTATTCTCCCAACAATAGTATAACTAGTAACAAAATTAAGAATTAGTAGATGTTATCTACAGCATAACTATTCTACAGTTCTCTTGTTGGTTCTGTATACATTTGTTAACTTTTTTACTTGGAAAATGTACTGTCAGAGAAGAAAGCAACCACAGTTTAAAAAATACTTATTTTGATGGATTTTTTGCATGAAAAATACTTACAGTATTCTGACCTCACTATGATAAGACAGCCCATTTTTCACTCTGTTAGGAAACCAGGGCTGTATAATTTAATTCAAGAAAGTATAACTTGAATTGAATACAAGACAAACCATGTAAATGCCTGCCTTTAAGTTATGTTAAACCCCCATAAATGTGCATCAATCTACCTCTCATTAAACAAGACTGAAGTATATAAGGCAGTGATACTTTGGTTAACACATCTGTTCAAACACAGAAGATTTTTAATATCTTTGGGAAAAAAGCCAAATGTTGTAAACACACTGAAAGTCGTAAAATTGCTTGTCTTTGCAAAGAACCACATTTAGTGTTAGAAGTATTACTAATTGCATATAAATGCACAAAAGGCAATATTTAGTTCTGGAAGCATAAAATTTTAGGAACATTGCACCACCCAAAATAACATAATCAAAATACCACCAAATACATACAAAGAGCATGTCTTCTTCTACTTAAATAAGTTGTTTAAAGGTGGGGTTTTTTTTAACTCATGGCAGAAAAAGTTACTCTAAAAAAAAGTTATTGCAAGAACTGCAGGAGCGAATTCCAGTGAAAGTCTGCAGCCATTGTGAGTTATTCCCAAAAAACTTGCCAGCTCCCTAGAGCAAAGGCAATTGGTTACATGATACCCAGCAAGGCTGAAACACAACAACTTACTGCTGAACAGGCAAACGTTTCAGAAAGCCTAATACCGAGCTCCTAAATCCAGGAACTTATTGAAAAAAAAAATAAACATTTTTAAAATAAACCTAAAACACATAGGTTTTTTTTACATGTCTCCATGTTTGTTAATGGTGAAATCTGATGTTTATTACTCTTAATGACACAATGTGTGACAGGGTCTATGTATAAGCAAGATTTGAAAAATGAGATGAAAATATTCTCTCCTTCTATTAGCATTACTATCAAAAAGTGAAAGCTTCAGTCAATATTGCAGTACTGTCAATATTCTACACTATTTTGCTTTCTTTTGAATTTGACTTCCTATATTGCCCTCCTAAATTCATTCATCTCATGGCCAGTATCTTTTCAATTATCTTTCAATATTTGCCCTCTGAATCACTGACCTCATAATGAACATTTCAACAGCTTTCTGTATTTTTCTGTTCCTCAAGCCCTTTCATTGACAAATTACTGTGTCTACACTCCTCGCTTCTACATGAAACGTCATGTATAGTGCTTGTCATGTTCACACAAATTATCAAGCTTATCACATGCGTAAGACAATCTCACAAAGCAAGACTGAAATCAAGACAACTTGATTCAACTAGAAGCCTCTGACTCTTGCTCTTCTACAGACACTAGCACATTTAATCTGTTTCTACTATTGAATGTAGAAACTCTGTATGACATTCAATATGTCATATTTGGATTCTGTATGATGGAATAATAAAGGAAACAAAAATCCTTCTCCATGCTGAATGTTAAAAGAATACTGACAGAGAAAATGACAGCAGTTAGGGAAGTACTTACTAAATATTTAAATACATTAAACACAATATGCCTTTGCAGTGCATGTTATAAAATTTCTATGGATCAAAGTGGAAAATTTCACTTGAACTTGACCAATACTTGTTTGTCATCTGACAAATTATGTTTGTCTATATTGAATTATCTGTAACACCATTATATATTTCTGTTTTCACAAACGTGAGGGGGAGGGACACGAGATGCAGCAAAATAATTACACGGACATCAATGATAAAATATTTTGATTGAATTACTGAATGCACTATTTTTACTACTTTATTAAACTTTGTGCACTTCCATTATATCAGGAAAACCTCCACAGAAAGTTCAAAAGAAATGCACACTTTATTTACTTTCAAAGGCATATATATAAGACAAAGACCATGCAAGTGGTTTAGTAGAAGGCAGTGGTTTTTAATTGAAAAAACAAAATGAGAAAAAGATAAACTCCAGAAATATCCAACTAAACGCAATGACAACGTTAATGAAAGTACAATAAAATGAAATTATGAAGTGCTACTGTGAACTATGGAAAAACCTACAAAACTGTAGTCAGTCCTTCCTGTCTTATCCTTGTTTTCTTCTCCTATTCCCCCTTGATCTACTGCACTTAAGACACTTTTTATATATTGCAATGGGAAAGAAGATTAAGTAGTTGTTCAGAAAATGGTTTCTAAAGTCTTCAAAAAACCCAGGGATTCTTACTACAATGGTAAAATACTTTGAAGAAAGCATATATTGACCCTTTTCATGTTCCATTAGTCTATGATTGTTTTGATCCCTTCTTCTTCTTAGTTGTGTAATTCTCTTATTCTTGAAATTATATATCAAGTTTTGGATACCAATAATAAGTTTTTGATTCCCTTAAATTATATACTACCTAATGCAGCAAAGAAGAGTGTAGCAAAAATGCTAGACTATCTGCACATTAAGTGTCACACAACCCAGTTAAGGGTAACACTCTTCAAGAAGCAAGAACACAGGCATCAAACAAAAAATTTAAGTGCTACAATGCAGCAGTAATACCTATTTCAAGTTTCCATCTTAATCTACAGCTCTTGGACCTGTTAGCTCTGTATGGCAATCTGTCTCCCGCTGCCTATTTACAGCAGTTATTTAAAAACAGTATGCACCTACCAAATCAAGTTCTGGTAAAAAATTTCAGTATCTGTCCTTCTGTCCTTCTTGTAACATGAATAAAGAGGCAGCTCTATACTCTGGAGCAATGAATGCTAGTCCATGTATAAGCATCATCTGACAGGACTGAGATAATTGGCACCTTAAGTAAATTCCTTTTCTTTAGTCCCTTCAAGCAAGGCCAAGGACAACAATGTTTCACTTTTTAAAATACAGCAAGATGAAAAGGCATGGTAGAGTAAGTGGGCAGAAGCCGGGAGTAAAATCAAGTAGAGAAAAAAAGAGAAACAGAGATACTTGTTTTTTAAACTGTCTCATGCCTGTGGAAATTTGTTAAGAAATCTGACTTGGAGGACAATGAACATCCTTCAGAAGCCTGAAGCTGAAAATGTTTGCATCATTATTCTTTAGGCATAGTTGTACCATGTTCAAGTACCTTCCTCTCTTTTAATGCCTTACTACCCAAAGTAACCCTGCAGTAACTATTTTGCTAGATACTGACTTCCAGTAATCAATAAACCCTCTGACTTGCCCCCAGTGTTATAAGACTTTTCTCCTTAGGTGTGCATGAAACCACTGCTGCCAGATATCTGGGACACTTATCACTGCAGCTTCATTATTTACATTTCTATAATAAACAAGAATAGCCTTCTAAAATGTCTAGTTGCAGTCACCAAAAAACAGAAAAGAAACAGTAAATTCAGTATGACCAACCTCTTCAAATACATCTTATGACAAATAACAAACCATTATGCCACATCTTAATTTACATTTTCCCACTTCCCTTAAAACTTGGGAAAACACATGACTTTCCCAATACATTGTGAGTTTAAGTTGGTTTTGGATAATTGCTATTAATTTGATGATTTGATACTGCATTCCAGTGACTCTATCTACACAAACTACAATTCTAAATTATTTCAACTAATCTGCTTCCCCTCTGCAGTTCTTCTTTCTGGTTTTTTGGTCTGGTTTGGAGGTTTTTGTTGGTTTGGGGTTTTTCCCCCTGGCAGTTTTTCTGATTATATGTGTATATATATATGTATGTGTGTGTGTGTGTATATATATAAACACACACATATATAATATATTAATAATTAATACAGATACAGATCATTTTATATGCTTTTACTGAACATATGCTATTGCTACATATTATTTTTATTTCACCAAGGTCTCTCTGCTGTCAGGACATACACAAAGTACCAAGAAATGTTTGATACCTGACTGTCCATTCTTGGTCTTTTTTCCTTCTCTCTTCTACACAGGCTGATAGATTAGTCTGATTTGGCAGGGACCTTTTAAAGCCAATCTAGTACATGTACATGTCATACAAGAATTTCTTCCTAAATTATTCTGTATGTCAAGGAAGATAAATTATAATAGTGTCTACACAAAATTTCATGCAGTTTCTTTAAAAACTGATGTCCACATGGTGAAGACAAAAAATACAATTACCAAAAAAAAATAGGATCTACTTTCACATGATT